GGTGTGCCATATTGATCAATAGATAGATCTAAATTGAATAAATCTAAATAGATAAATGTAAATATATAAATAAACGCACATGTAAATAAATACATGTAAATAATATGTAAATGAATAAATTAATGCTAAATATTCAATTTCAAAACCTTTAAAAAAAAGAAAGAAAAAGATAACGAAATATAAACAGAACATAAAGGAACGGATGAGAAAAAGCATGTGTACGAAACACGTACAAAGAAACAGAGTGCCAGTAAACAAGATAACAATAAAATATATAAACAAAAGAGTCAGGCTGTCTCGGCTTATCTTCTTTGTTAAGTTCAAGCTCCCAGTTCCCAGTATCAAGAACCACTCACCGTTTCACAATAATTATTGTATAATATACAGAAATCCACAACTTCACGTTCTCCAAGAGAAATGAGGGATGTAGAATCTAGATCTATGGCGTACGCCAGTAAGATCTGCCAGAAAACTGAGAGAACAAGCTCTTTTTTTTCCGTGTCAAAATTTGAACAAAAAATTTGTCGCGACAACACAGCCAGGTCACACTCTCTCACACACACCAGGGAAAATGTGTGTCAGATAAATTATCGTTTTTCACAAAGTGCTTCCAGGTTCTGGTTTTAACGGTCAAACTGCTGTCCTTGTTACGCCTACAGACGAAACAGTGAGGAAGGGAACTAGGATGTAAAATGTGTCAATTCATCAGCAGTGAAAGACCAAGCTGCGAAACATAATAGTGTGAGCTCACGAGTGTGTATTTTCGTGAGTCCGTCCGTCCGTGTATCGCGAGAGTGCTTTGTCTCCCACGTGGTGACCGAGCGAACACACACGAGGTCACAGCTTAGTGAGAGAGAGGGAGGGGGAGAGAGTACGAGAGAGCACGAGAGAGAGGGAGAGAGAAGCTGAGAGGGGGAGAGAGAGCACGAGAGAGATGGAGAAACGGGGAGAGAGCGCGAGGGAGCATGTGTTAGGCCTGCGTTCGATGCCGCGAGTCGCAAGTGCACACACACACGCACACGCGCACACATACACAGCCACCACCTGATTGTCGCGCCCGCGAGCAGGATTGGGCAAGATCGGGACTGCGCGTGCGCTATAAATAGGACTGAATCATTTCTCGCGTGGGTCGAAGCCGAAGCGTGAGGGAGGGATTAGTGGGGTGGGGGTGGGAGTGAGTGACGGTGCGGGTTACGCGGGGGCACGTGCGCGGTGAGCTACTCACTCGTGGCTGAAGTTGTGAGCCGGTGGTTGGGGGTTTTACAAGGAGATAA